CAGCCTGGACCTTGAGAAATTCAGAAACCCTGAGGCATCCTAGGACTTGGCTGTGGGGAGTATCCCTCATCTGCAGAGCGCAGCCTGAACTCAACATTTAAACTTTGAGCTACACAAAGTATTTTAAATCAAAGAATCATCAAATGGTTTGGGTTGGAAGAGAATTAAAGATGATCTTATTCCATCCCCTGCCATGGGCAGAGACACCTTCCACTATCCCAGGTTGCTCCAAGCCCTGTCCAGCCTGGCCTTGGACACTTCCAGGGATTCAGGAACAGCCACAGCTTCTCTGGACACCCTGTGCCAGGGGCTCACCACTCCCATAGGGTAGAATTTCTTGCTAATACCCAATGTAAGCCTGTCCTCTATAAGTTTAAAGCCATTCCTGCTTGTCCTGTCACTCCAGACCTCTGCCCAAAGTCTCTCTCCAGCTCTTTTGGAACTTCTTTAGGCACTGGAAGGGGCTCTGAGGTCTCCCTGGAACTTTCTCTTCTCCAGGCTGAAAAACCCCAGCTCATCATAGAGAGGTCAATGACCAAATTAATGTAGAATTTGCTATACCAAACCAATTTCATTTTCTGTGTCTCAGACCTTTCACCCATACACATAGAAAGAAAAACCCTTTAATTTTTTGGACTGTAACTTTTTGCAACATGCAAGCCATTTGTAAATAATATTGATTCCCCCACCCTTAATCATATTTCTTGGCCAATTTACTGGTCACTGACTATTTTGCTGCCATCTGTGCATGAACAGAATGAAGAAGCTTGCTCTATGGCAGATATAAAAGTGAAAATACACACCTCAAAACAAATCACAGGCTGGAATTCTACAGGAAAAAGGTGTAAGAAGCAATACAACTGAGCAGTTAAATCAGGAGAAAAATCCAGCAGGTTCAGTGACAAAAGGCTTACAATGTGCACACAGGACTTAGTGGCCACTATCATGAAAACATAAGCCATGTTTAAATCCACAATTAGGCTCACAGCAGCAGCTTAAAAACACAATCAGGTCATTATAGCTTGCACCAGATGAGCCAGGATACTACATGATCTGGACTAACGCCAAAGCAAAATGAGCTTAACAGACAGACAGAAGTCCCAGACTGATAGTAAGGTCTCTTTGGACTTTTTTCTTCCTTCCAGATCAAGTAAAAATTATTCAGCCCCCTTCCAGGCTGCACTTTTGAAAGTACAGTGATGCAAGTCCTATCCAGAACCCCTTCTTCTGAAAGGTACTTTGGTGTTGGCTGGGACTTGTTTCCTAAGACTGGTTTCAGGCACTCAGGTGTGAGCAGCTGGCACCCTGAGAGAACATTTGTGCCAGGCAGGACTGGGAGGCCAGTGGTGTTCCCTTCACAGAGTGCCACCCATCACTCAAGGAAAACATTCTCATCAGATCTGTAGCTCCAGAAGTAGCTCACATTTCTGTGTGTTACTCAATATATTAACTAACCCAGCATCCATGAGGCAACAGATGGACCTGAGATATTTCTGTGTCCCCAACCTTGCCTCTGTTAAATGTCTGCAGTTTGATGTGATGGAGGAACGTTTTAGCTGACAAAATGGACAGAGGCAGCTGTTTCTGGAGCCATGAGCCTTGGGTTTGTCTGCAGTTGGAGATAAAGAGCCAGGTCCTGAAGAAAAGGGCACAACATACATCTAATACATTCACTGCAAGGGACACAGGCATCAGGGCTTGAGGGCAGTGAATTTGGATCAAAAAGATGCTTTGAAAAGGGAGATAAGCCTGCTGCAGTTTTTCCATGGAAAGAGATGGCTGGGGAAAGGATGTGCCTCCTGGTCTGGAGAAAAAAAAAGAGATTTTCCAGAGCTGATCAGGCAAAATTTATTTATCAAAGAAAGCAAGTGAGCAGTGGAACTTACACAGGCTGATTTCCCAAGGCTTGGGGTTTGATTATCCCATGTCTAACAAAAGTGGGAGCTCTACTCAGAGCTTCTCTAGAAGCAGAGGCATGTGTCCCATGTGGGTTCATTAATGTCTAATAATGCAGCTGAGCTTACCCCTAAACCTCCCCTCAAGCAGGGAATTAATTTGTGTGTGTCTCTCTGCTTTGCCTGGCCACCTATTTTCACTGAACTTCCCAGCTGAAATTGCCTAGTGAATTCAAAAGCTTTTACAACAGGAGTGACAAGCATGAAATTAGATGATACAATCATACACACCTCATTCCCTTCAGAAAGCAGGTTAAAAGTAATTTAGGACATTTTTCAGCACAGAACCCCTAACGGCTGACCATTTCAGAATGAAGACTTTTATTATGTTTTTCTGTACTGTGATGCTATTAGAAATACCTAATAGAGCAGGGGCTGAAATGGGGTGCAGGCAGTGGATGCCTGGGCCTGTGGGTGATCCAGGCACAAAACATTTCAAGTATGAAGAGCACATTAACTGGAGCCACACTGCCACGAGCAAAGCCAGGCATGGCAGCTCCTGCCCCTGCCACCAAAGCCACCAGGAAATTCTTGCTCCCTTGGCTGTTTCTGAAAGGACACTGCTAAAGGCTACTGCTAATTTCCACTGTAAACAGCCTTTCCCAGATCTAGGAAAGTCTCCATGACTCTGCTCCTAACTGGCACCCAATTATTCCTCCAGGTCCTGTGCTGTGCTGAAGGTTTCCAAGTGTGGCACAAGGACTGACCCTACAAATAAAGAGTCACCACTGCCTTGCATGTGCTGCATGCTTGGAATCCATTTGTGTGCTTTAGCTGCTGGCACCATTAGGGGAGATGCTGTTCTCAATTAAAACCAGCCCATTGCTTCCCTAGGCTTAATTAGAAGCAGGGCTCTACATTCTGGCACCAGCAGTATTTTCTTTTCAATTAATGGACTTAACAGGCAGCAGATGCCAGTGTCTTCCTTTCTCTCCTCTCCAGCAAGCATCCCACCCCTATTTTAAAATCATCAGCAATGATTTTAATGAGACAGCTAATTCAGATATTGCTTCTTAAACTGAGAATAGTTGTAAAAAATCCCAAATAAATCCATGAGAAAGCCCATAGCAATCTTCCTATATTTTAAAGCAGGGGAGAAATGCTGAGCAAAAAGGAGAATAGTGAAGTAAATAACAGTGCAAGCCATGATGGTCTAGGACTATTTTTCTTGTGTGACTTCCATTAAGTCCAATGGTAAGGCTGCAGAAAGACTGCAGTTAATTTTTATTGATAAAATAATTGACACACTTAAACTTCCTTGCATTATTTCATTGACCATAAGTTGCATCCATCATAAGTTGCTCCTCCTGTTGGAAACTGTAAATTTCTAAATAATATAAAATTTATATTGTTAAATATAAATTTTCTATATTTATTTATATAAGTAAATGTGGTGTTGATTTTTTATTATATGGCAACAATTACCCTAGTAAGATTTTTGGCCCTGTTTTAACACAGTTGCCTGCTTTCATTAAACATTGTAGATCTTCCTCTCTTTAAATGACTACTCCTCTTTGGCTGGAATTTGCCAGATTCCTCTGCTCCAGATATTTTTGGTCAGGGATTCAACAGGAATACAGCACACTGACTTAAATCTTGCTCGCTTGGAAACTCAGTTAAAAACAGCACTGGGGGAATCACTTACAGCTCAGGATGACAACACTTTGTCCAGCCATGGGGGAGCACAAGGAGGCTTCAGATACATCTGATAACAGTGCTGCCTTTCTGGCAGGTCTGGGCAGGAGGGTGCTCCAGAGGCATGGATGAATCACATGTAAAATCCTGCCTCAAGTCTATCAGATAAAACTTCCTTTTAAACCTCAAGGGCTAATAGCCATGAGATTAAAGGATGATTTCATAGAACAGTCTGATAGCTGTCCTCCTCCTGCTTTGCTCCTTACCCTGTAAGTAAGGTGAGGGGATAAACCTTTTCCCCAGCCCTTGTAAGGAAGCAGGAATAGAAAGTGAGGAGGAAGAGAATGCCATAGCACAGAAACACCAAAAGTGAACTGCAGTGCCCCAAACCAGGGTTTCCAAAGTGAGCCACCACTACTTCCCAAAGCAATCCTGAAACCCAAACTTATTTAATGCTTGAGAACATCTGTCTGTCCCAAGTGCCATGATAAATGTTGTGATGTGGAGATCCTTCTTTCACTGAGACTGCTGAGCACCCACCTCTGCACTGGTGATGTCCCTGCTGTACCTACCTACAAATGGCAACATTTGGCAATATCTGACAGGTTAGCCTACCTTGTTCCGTGTCCTAAGCATCTAAAATCTACAAAATCTCACAAATTTTATTTCTCAGCACTGTAGTACAAAAGCTCCAGTGTCCCCCTTTTCATGTCCTGCAACCCAGGCCAGTACCGGTGTTCATTTCATGGCACAGGGCCAGGAAAGAATAGTTTGCTTTCCTTTAGTCTAACAAAACTAACTTGCCTTTCCATTAAGCAGCTGGATCAGATCATGTTTAAGAGAAACTGTCCTTAATTAATTGGATAGGATTAAATTTAATTTAGAAAAAGCATAGGAGTTGCCCAAGGGAAAATCTCCCTCCCCACTCTATAACGCAAACTGGTTCCAATTCCATATTCTTTTTTTGTGGAAACTGTGAATGTGATAGATAGGGTCATTCACAGTATTAAAAAAGGGAAATAATGTAATTGTTGCTGACATCAAAATTATTACTCTTATTCCAGGAAAGCAGGGAACAATTGGGAAAATAATAACCAAACAGAAGGGCAAAGGGAAGGCAAATAGGGGAGTTTTTCATATGGTAGGTCTACTTTTGGGAAACTGAAATGAATCTGGGGCAGTTTCCTAATCTAAAAGTGTTGTTTACATCAGAACTGTGCCCTTTAAATGCTTTCTTATTTCTACATTTATTTTTTTTACGGAAAAGAAAACAAAGTATTTAATTCCATTCCCTGCATGAGCAAACCAAAACAAATATATAAAAGAGCATTTCTCACAGAGAGGGAGAGAAGAGAGTCCAGAATTGTTTTACTCAAGTTTTAGACATTTACCTGAGATGACTGACTTGGAAACTTGCTGGACACCTGAAGCCCATTCTGTGAGGCATCATTCTGGTTCTGAGGACTACACCTCTCACCAGGAAAAGCAGGACAAAGTTCTCCAGTTCACCTGGATGGAGCTCAGCTCAGTGCACTGGAGCAGGCACTCCACAGACAGAACAATGCTGCACCTGGCCACAAAGGTGACTACAAAACCTGATTTTGGTTCTCTCACCCTGCACTCAACTAATTTCCTACCACTTGTATGATAGAAATCCAATTCTATCAGTTCTGCTTGCTGTGACAATATTAGAAAAGTCTTTAGGCATGATTAGTGCTGATAGGAAACACAGAGAATGTTTGATATACCTGTTTTTAATGATTCTTTTACAAGCCTCATTCTTCCAAGCTTTATGAAACTCCTTTTCCACACTGAAAGACTAAGAAACAAATGTTATTTTGCAGAAAGCTTCCTGACCTGCACACCAGGAATTAAATGAGGAAATTTAACTGAAAGAGCCCACTTTGAAGGAGACAGCAAAAGTTGCCACGTACAAGATTTAAATGAACTGAGGAAGAAGAGGAACTACTCTGACACCAGGCTGGAGAAGATGGATTCTGTCCAGGAAATCACACTCCATCAGCTTCTGGTAAGTCTGGCTCAGGCATCCTAACTTAAGGATTTTTATCTGATGCAATCCATTTTGCATATGCTGGCTGGGTTTAGGAAATGCAGCTCTGTCTAGCTGAGAGTTATTGATATTTTTCTGATGTTTTTGTTGACATCCCCTCTGAGCCCCTGTTTCAGAGCTGGCTGATGTGCACAGGTGCTGCAAGAGCTCCTGTTACAGCCCAGCCTCAAAGCCAAAGACTTTATTTAAAGTCCCCTCCAAAGCCTCATCTGCCAGAATCATGAGAGAAAGGTCTTGAGAAAAACCCTTTGGTGCTTCTTTTTCATTTCACTTCACCAGGCCAAAGTGACTTCTGTGTGAATGAGATGAAAAGTGCTCACTAGAGCATTTTAGGTTTTGTTTGACATGGACCTTACCTTGACCATCACTGTTCCCACAGACTGGGAACAGCTCAGCAGTTCCCTCCAGCCTCTGTTTTTCACAGTTTGGTTTCATGGCAAGCCTTTCTCCTGCCTTTCTGTCTCTACTACAGGCAAGCAAGCAGGGATGGACACAGATCCTACTTTTTGTTTGGAGGGGGAGGATGTAAAATAACATTGAGGAGAAAGGACAAAGAGGGGCCACAACAATGCAACCATCTGGTGAAACAGCATGTAGATGAAAGCACATGTTAATTTGGATAGAATTGTGGTCTTTTCATTTATTAAAAAGTCACTCCAGCTCCCTTGGATTATTGTGAATGAAAGATAAGGGAAAAACTAATATATTCTTCCCCTACTCATTAAATAAAGTAAAAATGCAGAGATCTAGCTGAGAACCAGCAAAGCCCCACTGCAGCACCAGTCAGAGACTGTAAAAGGAGCTTACACAGAAGCTGGCTCATGACACCCCTGTTAATTCTGGGTATTGTGCATTGAGCAGGTTCTGTTTTTTACAGCCTATCCACTTTGCTGTTTGTACAGGTGTTTATGCACCAGGGAAACAGGTTTTAAGATGGGAAAACAGGTACAAACCCATAAACATTAACAAACAGAAGGTGTACAAGAGATTTGAGACAGACCTGTTCCAAGTGGCTGTTGTTCCTTTCAAATATTGGTGGGAAGGATAAGGAGCTTTGGGATTTGAGCAAAGTTAGACTGTCATGCTCTGAGCTAATAAAAAATTTCCTGTTGTAGTTTTCATCTCAGTGACAGTAAGTCAACTCAATTTCTTAGCTTAAACAGCACTTTATGGGCTCCAGTGTTTCTATGCCCTTCAAATACAAGAACTAAAAGAAAAATGAATGCATGCAGTGAAATATAGGACTGCTTAAATATTGTATGCTTTTATATATATATATATATGTTTCAGAGATCTTAAACATTCAGTGTTTGCTCCTAGGAGCAGCTAAATTTGAAAACAAGAAAAGACACATTACAAGTTGCTGCTAATTGTGCCATCATTTTATCAAGTGCTAAACATTCCTGCATGGACAGTGCCTCTTCTTTGCCATAGATCTAGCAGCAGGGAGCTCTTGTAATAACACAGAAATACAGCCTGACTGAATTTCTGAGATGAGAATACACTATACATCCTCTTGCCACACCAGGAAAATGCATTTGGCAGCTGACTGCTGCAGCTTGCCATTAAAAGAAAGGCCAAACATCCAAGAGCAGGCAGGAGAGCTCTTCCTGGAGTGAGCAATTTCTTTCCCCTGTTCATGATCCCAGAATTACTTTGCTCTCATTGAATCCATTCATCAACTTAAAATGAGCACCTTGCTGCAGTGCCCAGCATATGAAGAGTGGCTGAATTTCAACTGGTTCCTCTGGGAATGCTCAAAAAACACACACCAAAGAAACCTTGCAGACATCTCCCAAGCAGATTTGGTGAGTCTGCTCTTAACACTCACCTTTCTGTAGCAGGAAAGGTAATTCTTCATTCCCACTGGCTGATTTAAACATGAGTCTTAAAAGAACTACTGAATCATCAAGACAATCTTAGAAAACATGATCTCCACAATGTACAGATAAGAGAATGTGCTTTGATATTTCAGCTGATTAAGTAACTGTCATCAAAAGCTTGTCCTGCTTTCCCATGCAGATCAGTCAGGGCAACAAAAGGTATCACCTGTCTGTGAAACTATTATACCCCTAGACTTTCATCACTGCTGCTATTTCAATATATTGTCTTCCAGTTGCCTAAAAAAAGGCATTTGAGTGAATGCTGACTAATCTAATAAGTCATCTGTCTGCCCCTCAGTTGTAAAAAAAAAATTCACTGCAACATTAGCTTAGCAGCTGAGTGACCAAGTCTGCATGTGGCTCTTTATTGTGCCCTGACCAAAGAGCAGGAATGGAGAATATGCTCCATCCTCCTCACAAACACCAGTTCATCTAATTTTCAAAAAAGAGGTAACATTTAACTACTTAGAACTTAGGAAATGGGTGATGTAAAAAACCAAACCAAAACAGAACTCGTCTGTGCTAGGTCTTCCAACCAAGACAGTAGCTGAAAGCTCTTGTACAGCTCTAAAAGATGAAATTTTGGGGTTTTTTAAACTAAATCCAAGTGTGGCTTTAATATACTCTGCTTCTGATCATCTTCTTTGTCCTCTCCCTCATATAGAAAATGGATCTTTACCCTAAGAAAAGTATGTCAATTTATGTTAAGTTCATTACCTCACGAAATATGTCAGGGTTTTAATATAAATCTCAAACTTGCATTTGATTATTAACTTACTGTTATAGCTGACATAAGTTACCCAGGGAAAAATAAGTAAAAAACAGCTAATGTAACAAAGCTTATGATTTTGAAAAGTTTCAATTTTTGAAAAAAATGAAGTAAAATGACCCCACAAAGCAGCAGAGCAGTGAAGCAGTATATTTTAGCATACCTATTTACTTAGAAACTGAAGAGCTGCTTTTTCAAAAGAAAAGGACATATTAGCAAGTTTCTCCCAGACTTTTAAAATATACAACATCCATCCTGTGTATCCAATAATGCAAGTGCTCCTCTCAAAGGGCACGCCCTGGCATGAAAGAAATAAAGATGCTCTTCTCAGCACAGCCCTTGCAGCTCTATTTTCATGTTGTAACAGAGAGTACCCCGAGGCAGCTCAGCAGTGCACCTGGCTAAAATCTGTTGGGAATGTAAGGTTTGGACTTTTAAGTTCAAAGCTAGGCCAGGCAGCTGCTGGTTTTTTCACTCTGTAAGCAATTCCTTCTAAGATTCAATCAGGAGTGATACATGGCCATGACCAGAGCATCATCCTGCATTCAAAATGTGCCTACTGCTCTGGGTAACCATCCTGAGTTGTTCATGCTCTTCTGCAGCTGGACAGACAGAGTAATGCAAATGTAATGTGTGAAAATTGCCACCCCATCAAGTTAAGTGGGTGCTTGTTTTGGCAGGGCAGATTGAACTGGCTATGATAAAAAAAAAAGAAAACAGCTCGGAGTTACTGATCAGTAACTGGGCTTTCGCAGCTGAACAGTTAACCAGCAAAACATTTTTGGGAAAAATACTCCCAAGCCTGTGCAAAAAACAAGGTTACATGCTAAACAAGCTAAATGAGTTTATATTGTGTCTCTCCCATTACAAACCTGTCCCTACAGTACAGTATTATCTGTATCAGTTGGGCTTTATGCATCCAATGGGAGAACTATTAAGGAATCAATCCATTTCACTGTCAGACTGTTTCACTTCCTTCCTCCTCCCATCCTCTCAAGCTTACATCTTCCTTCATTTCCTGTTCTAGCTCAATAAATCACTCTCCTTCTTGTACATCTATATTTGCCTTGAAACTGCATTCCTCTCAGCCACTAATTTTTAAATTGGCAGTAAAACCATAGGATTTCTCTGGCAAGAGTTACTCTGCATAAACCCTGGCTGTTGACTCTTTGTGGTTGTTCTGCTCATTTAGGACCAGACTGCATCACATTCAGCTCTGGGTGTTCTTTCCCTCAAAACCAGAGCAGTGTCATCTTCCAGGTTCCTCAAACCAAAAATTAAATCCTTTGTGTGACTAACTGGAGATCCAACAACCTGCACAAAGAAATTCTTCTGCAACATGCCTGGCCATGCAGGTGAAATAATCTTTTGATTGTTGAATAAAATAGCCAAATCTCAGTCCACTGTGGGGTAGATACTCCTCTCCTGAAGAACCATTTGAGCTCTGTGGCAGCCTGTGAAGTGTGAATATATCAGAGAGGATTCTCTGCAGAAGGTAGAGCTGGTTAAATTAATAAAAGGTATTCCAGGATGGAGACCTGCAGAAGGCCAGCAGGCAGCAGATCTGGTTCCAGGGACAAACTCCCCTCTACCACCCCCAGCTCAGGATGTGTTCCCTGACTGGGGCAGATACACCTGTGGGACAAAACTCTCCTGCAAAAGATCTGGCTCTGCCCCTGAAACACAAAGGGGTCTGACAGTGAAAATCAATGCAGGAGCTTATTTCTCTCCATTGCCCTTTATATGCCTTGAGCCAGCAGGGAAATACAAATGGTTCTTGATAGGCATAACTGCTGCCAAAACTGTTCTTTGGAGGAATCAGAAATGCACACATATGCTTTATTAGCCTTTCACACAAGGACAAAGCAGACAAACTGAATTTCATTTGGTTTTCATTTGAAGCCTTAGATTTCAAGCATTTTTTTCATGTTGGTCCAACTGACCTTGACCCTTCTGTATTTATGAGGGAGTTTAGGTGGAGTCTGAAGATAAAATTCTCTTTTGTTTCTTGCTTCCTGTTCCTGATACTTAAAACTGGTGAATACAGAGTATTTTTGTGATAATCTTAACAAACAAACTGTATGACAGATTTTAGACAGTAGATAAATGTGTATATCACCATCTGAATCTATTTTACAGCCACAAGTCATACATATTCTTTGGGCTTAAACCCACAGTATTTTACTTTAAAAAATATTAGTTGTATGGCAGATTAATAAACACAAGAAGAGAAAATTTATCTACATTTCAATGAAAGGTTCATGAAGTCACTGGTATTAGGCCATTAAAATAACACAGAACTACAAATGAGAAGATACTGTCCTCAAGTAAGCAATGAAAAGCACAAACAGAAGAGCAAAACCCCTCAAATTATCTTTCCACAGCACAGAACTGATGCTGGGCTCAACCCCTGTGTTCTCCTGGATAAGTAACTCCCATGGGGTTCAACAGCACTCTGCCTGGCTTTGAGGATCTGGAGGTGAGGGGGAATACAGGAGCACATCTTTACTTTCAACCAGCCAACATAGAAAGCCTCCCAACTGAAATATTAAACAGGGAGCTCCAGGAAAAGAGCTAAAATTAGCCAGGAAAAAAGCTGGCTAAACAAAATGGCCCAAGATCTGATGTCCCAAAACCACAGGAGTACAGCCAAGCACTGAAATGCCCACAAGGACCTGTGACCCCTGAGCTATGCTGGGATGGATCAGCCTTCCAGAAACAAAATCTGGACAACGTGATGGGCTCAGTTTGCACAGACAGGGTGAACACAACTAAAACTGAAGCAATGAAAACTGAAAGTGCTCCCCTGGCTAAGTCAGTCCTCTAGATGATTACTGATGGCATCTTCTCATCTAAAAATACAAGACATCTAGAAAAGACCAATGAGAAAGACAAAATTGATTTTAGTGAAGTCCTGCAACCTATACAAACAAATGCTGTCAACAATACAGTACAAAATCCCTCCCCAAAAGGGCTGTGCCAGCAGTGGCTCTGCCACCCAAAAGGGCAGTGGTGGAGTCACCTTCCCTGGAGCATTTAAAAGCTCTGTGGATGTGGCACCTGGGGACATGGCTGAGAGGTGGCCTTGGCAGTGCTTGGTCAATGGCTGGGCTGGATGATCTCAGCAATCTTTTCCTGCCTCATGGTTCTGTGCTTCTACAGCCACAAAGCAGAGCAGGCTCTGCCTTTTCATGCACAAGCACACAGTTCAGGGGAAAGTATGTGAAATTAAACTGAGATTAAGAAGAGTTTACCACACCCACACCCTCTCTGTTATCTACTGCACAGGCAGGATAAAAGGGATTTTTGTGGGTGCAGTTATTACAAAAATTATGTGCTAGAAAGGTTTTTTTGAAGGAAGCATTTATTTCAATTAATAAAAGACACAAAGAGTAAAAATTAATTTACTGTCTCAGAATACTAGGGCAGAGGAGGGATTTGACTATTTCAGCAGTACTACTTCCACAAAGAAGAAAAATCCAGTTCAGAGAAGTGACAGGCATCTTCTCTGAAATCTTCTCAAGAAATAAACTACCCATAAAATCACGAGTCAGTAAATGAATGACACCTTCACAGACATGACCATAATTTGTCAAAACAATATTTTTACCACTTTTTTTTTACCTGGTACAGGGAAGTTCCTCAGTGTGCAAGAGCAGAACCTGGCCCAGCTCATTTGCCTGAGCATCTGTTATCACAGATATTTGGAGGAAGTGGCCAGATTCTAACCATATGCCACACTACAGACAAGCACTTTTCTTTTTTAAAGAAATACACAGCCTTGAGATAGTAGCTTCTACTTGTCCCTGACAGGCAGGCACTGATGATGACAGCACCTTGCTTCACCACTGGGTTGCCACTCAAAACCATCAGGTAGAGGAAGATGGACTTGATATTTATTAGTTATATTCCAACTAATAGTATAATTATTATAATATATATTAGTGTAATTATAAAATAGATTCTATTGTATTATAGACAATATTCTATAATATAGATTATATATTATGATGTAATATATATAATACATCATATTACTAGAATTACTATAATTATGTATTATAATATAATTATAATATTATAACTATAACTGATTAGTATATAAATTAAAGAACTACCTGCAGCCAAAATCTGATTCTCTACATGTAAGAAATCTGTAAAAGCACAGTGATGTCAACAGAAATACTGGCTGCATAAATGTAGCCAAATTATTACTAAATATGCTTCCTGACAGCCTGGGAAAAAGGAAGAAATTCCAGGCCACAGCTCATCTCCTTGGATGAAAAGGAGTCAGCAGCTGCCAAGGGCTTTGCCTGCCTTGCCCTGTTCAAGGTTTTTCACCACTTCTGAGAGCCATGGGTAGGATGTTGCTGCCAAGTTCAGTACCCAGAGAGCAGTAAAAGATTGGAGGAAGGGGCTGCTGGTCTTTGGGATGTATTGCCACATATTTACAGAAGGGATTTTTGGGCTCTCTGGGAAACATCTATTGAAGTAAGGTCATAGGTTTACCACTAGTGTGCCTCAGGGGGTGATACAGGGCACACATTACATGTAAATCCTCCAGGACTATAGCCCTAAACTACAATGGTCAGCTGGAATTATTTTTCCTTAGTGTTTTTACTGTAGTAAAAAAGAAATATTACATGAACAGTAGCATATTTCAGGCCTGAACTTAAAAAGACCTTTTTCTCTGGCTATAGGGGTATCCCTTCAAACAAAGATGAGCAGACTGATCCAACTCTGAAATTTCCTCTCACCAGCCACTGTGATTTCCTATTTTCATGAGCAATGTATTTCCCACAAAGATGAGAGTGTTTTTCAGAGCAATGCTATTAACAGACATCCTTTTGCTTGGGTTTTGTTTATGTAGGTGCCTTTATTTATTTTTCTATCCTTAACAGTAACAAAGCTAATTTCAAAGCATTAGGGTATGTTGTCTTCAGAGCACAAAACTGACAATAAACATCCATGATATTCCTGTGCTGCCTTCAGTGAGTTTTGGCTTTTATTTTTCATAGCAGGGGAAACTACAGGGTTGAGGTGCAGGTTTGGAGGACTCAGCAGAGCTGTGTATTTTCTGCAGTCTCTACAAGGTTTGTCTGAGTGCTCCTGAGCTGGGACTGCTGCAAGGAACTGAGAAAGGAGCTGGACAGACAGGTGTCACACGAAGGGACACCCAGAGTGACCTGACAGTGACCAACACCTGCCTGCTCTGACAGCTGAGCAAAACCAGGCAAATGAAAAAGCTGCAGCTGCGTGGCTGAAGATGTGATGGGAGATGGGTGGAAGGTGTCCCAGCCCATGGCAGGAGGTTGGCAGTGGCTGGTCTGTCAGATCCTTCCAACCCAGGCCAGTCTGTGATGCTCACACAAACACACTGTGCCTCCCAACAACAGCCACCCTGCAGTTTTTGTTAGCCTGCAAATCCTTTCGTCAGCTAAAGCAGTTCAAAAACTGCTCTTCCAACACCTAAACCACTCACAGGTTTCACCTTTGAAACCAACGGAATTTTGTTGCCTCTGCTGGAAATGATACAACTTCTAAAATGTTTTTAACTAACTTTGGTCAAGGGCTTGTTCATCTTTGCCCAGGGGGAACGGAAATGAAGTTTCTTTCCAAAAGACTGCTTCACCAGTCAAGGCCTGATGACCCCAACATCGACAGGTTGGGAGCAGACAGAAGAAACACAGCAGGTAAGTGACCATTAATAAATGTTAATGAACAACCAACCCCAAACATCATCCCCTGGTTTGCCTGGTCTGAGAACACACTGATAAGAGAACTGAAGAATGAATCTAAATAAAATTAATGTAAATAAATCGAAACAAAATAAATCTAAATAAATAAATGAGCATCTAAAGTGAAAGGATCAATAGCCAATAGGAGATCAAATACTGAGAATTGTGCAATTTAAGACCAATGAACTCTGGGGTTTGTCTGTTAAAATATGTGAAAAATCTAGACCTCAAACATCATCCCCTGGTTTGCCTGGTCTGAGAAAAGACTGATAAGAGAACTGAAGAATGAGGACTAAATGAGCATCTAAGGTGAAGGGATCAATAGCCAATAGGAGATCAAATACTAAGAATTTGTTGTAATTTAAGACCAATGACCTTGAGAATTTCTTTGGGGTTTCTCTGTATAAATATGTTAAAAATCTAGTAAATATTCAGGTGTGATGGAATGATTTTCACTGCACAACCCAGGCAGTGTGTGCATGAAATGATTTCTGTTGCACACCCTGGCCAGAACAACATCCTGGCCAGAATAAATCGATTCTCTAATACTGAAAAGCTGTTGGAGAGTTTTTGTTTGTCCCTCAGTTTCCTGTGACACACCAAACATACAATTTAAAAAGTTACAAACCCCAGTGGATTGTCCCAGAGAGCCCAAATCCCAGTGTTTATTATTAATGGCAAAAATAGTAAAAATATGAAAATTTATGGTGAATTTTCATTTACCTTGGAAAGACAACGAGCTAGATCCAGTTTGCAGTGCAAGTCCTGATGAGATTATTCCTTGCCAACATGAAGCTTGACACCAACTGCTCATGCCAGCCTGTGCCCCAAATCTCTACTTGCACAAATATCCAGATAATACTATTTCTACTATTGATACTGATAATAAAAATACCTCCCCCACATCAGGCCTGGTGAGAAATCCCAATCTGAAAGCATTTCAAAGGCTGTCAACCATGAAAATCAATCAGTGCTGACAACCTCAGCCGAATCAGGGCTCATGGAGCAGTTTCCAGCATTCCTGGAGAGCTGCCAGCCTAATCCTCTCGCTGTAAATACAGTGCTGAGAGCCTCCCTGACAAGGGAAAATGAGCAGATTACATGGGGAGGTAACAAGCTTGAACTGCACCATGTCATGAATGGTGGGGTGGAGGGGAGAAATCAGCCTGCCTTTGTACTCCCAAATTATTTGTTTTGTACCAATCCTTTGAGTAAATATTCTGGCAAGAGAAGTTACCTCTCCACACATCACTCTGAAAGTAAGGTGGTGGCTGTAAGAGGTAAACTTGTGCCTTGTCCAACAGAAAATAAACCATCTGCAAGTTCTCAGCTTCCCTCCACTTCACAAAATCAGCTCTGTGCTCCAGGAATGGAGCCCAGGTGGAACAATAGAGCTGGGGACCTGCAGGTTCTGCTGCCTCCTCTGACCAAGAGGCTCTTGAGCATCCTCTGGGCTCTCACTTGGCCATCCAGGAAACAGAATTTCAAGGGAGTAGCTGGGCACTGAAATGCAATCAAACTGATTACTCACCACAGCTTTCCATGTATGAGGTGCTCTTAATTGAAACTCGCACTAAGCCCTGTTTGTTTGCCCTTGTGCTACTCACTCCTGTGAAACTAAACCAAAATCCAACAAGGAAAAGACCACTGATGATGCACAGATTTGTATCATTCCTCACACCCCATCCAGAAATGCTTAAGAATTTCCTGCCCCTGTGGCTTTACCAGCACTACAGCAGAGCCAGTCTCTGCTGTTCTGTGAGTTCTCTGAGACTGCAAACATTTTACAAAGCTTCCTCCTTGCTGTCAGAGCTTCCCTGACAGAGTTCCAGATGCATATTACAATATTGGCTTTTGGCAAATATTAAAATGGATTTTATATGTGTGGTGTTAAAGTAACTTTGTTATAAAAATACAGTTTTTATTCCTGTTGTTAATTAAGCTTAGTTAAACAGCTGATATAAGTGTTAAAATGCCTGCTGGGATGGGATAACATCCAATGGACACAGGATGAGCACACCTGGACAGATCTGCCAACCATCAGCACTTACCCTCTGAAGGCAGAGTGGACCAAGGCCCAAAAACTGGAGGTGATAAAAAAGGACTAAAACCACAACCAAGGAATCTGCATGCTCTAAAAAGGTGGAACAGAGGAGGAGCAAGGCTAAACAATTCTTGGAACATGTAAACTAGTTTGGGAAAAGTTTCCTATGCATAAGGGTCTATGAATATGCAAAAAGCTGATGTAATTAAAAGGTAATTAAGGGGTATCCCCGAAGATAACAGGGTGCTCTTGGCTGAGTGCCAGGATGCACCTGTAATAAATAACCTTTGCTCCGTGGTCCTTGTCTCCCATTGTCCTTTATTACCCTTTTCACATTTGCACAGCAGAGTGAAGGTGTTTTCCCACCAGGAGCCCATGCAGAGCTCTGTGTGCTGCAGACATCAGCCATGCATGGGTGCAGGTGTGTCCCAGACAGTGCAGAAATGAAGGAAATACCAAACCCTGCAACGCTCCCCAGCTTTTGGTCTTTGCTGCTGGACACCACAGCTTTTTTATTTCAGTGGCTGTATTTTAAAAAAAAAACTTCATGCTCTTGAACAAAGAAGTGAACTCCTCAAAACGCTGCTTTACATGTCAGTGCTCACCCAACAGCTGTTACAGACAATATTCATGCCTTATTATTATTCATGAATGTTCAACGGAACCTTTTTTTTTTTGTTTCCACAAATGTTAGGGAAATAGCTCCTTTCTCCAGAGCTGAAAGGGTGTTTGTGTAAGAACAAGAATCCCCATTATTACCTTGATGGTCATTATTCTCAGTTGTTCATTTCCTCCCTTTAGAAATTTAAATCATGCAATCAGAACAGAGTACCACCACCACCACCTGACTAGTAAGACACTCCCAATTCCAAAGAGAAAATAATTCAAAGAGGCTATTTCTAAATAACTGTTTATCCAAACTACCCCCTGAATCAATGTCATGTTTGCTGAAATCAGAAGTAAAATGGCTTGGAAAACAGCTCTGTCCACAGTGAACACTGGCAGTATTTTTTAGCCATAAGCCACTGATCAGCTTTATTTCTGAGCAGCTCTGCACAACCAGCCAGCATGTGTGTGGGTACTGGAGGTGAAATCAAGGGGATCAGAAACTCCTTGAGAAGCTTGGGAAAATCTTGACACTTTTAGCTCTACGTATTTGCTTTTTTACTGCACCTTTAGTGAACATTATCCATCTTAGGAAGTATAAATTAAATTTTGTGGAGTATTCTCATCCAAGTTGGCATTCTCCAATCTACTTATTTGGCAAATGGATTTATGTGATGTACAAACAGCAGATAAAGCACAGGCAACCTGTAAAGCATCAGCAGGAGAAACAGATATTTTTCACCTCTTCTTTAGACTTGCTTTCATGCTTGATAAACTAAAAACTTCCCTACTTGAAAACAGCATTTCAGCAACAAAGTTAATCCTTTCTCTGCCTCCATGCCCGGAAAATAATCTTATAACTCATTCTGGAGCTGAAAAGAGGTAGGTAGGGAAGAAATTCTCTGCTGTGAGGGTGGGAGGCCCTGGCACAGGGTGCCCAGAGCAGCTGTGGCTGCCCCTGGATCCCTGGGAGTGTCCAAAGCCAGGTTGGACAGGGCTTGGAACAACCTGGGACAGTGGGAGGTGTCCCTGCCCATGTCAGGGGTGGAATGAGATCATCTTTAAGGTCTCTTCCAAGCCAAACCATTCAATGAATTCTGAGAGTCTCACCCTTGTCATTAGGCAACTCTTGTTTTCTGAGCAAAAAGTGCAGATCCAGAAGAAAATCTGTCTCGAAAAAGAGGTTTCAGTGGGTGGAGAAGAGGAAGGATAACTGCTTTACACACAGGTAACAAAGGGTTGCTTTTCTTAGGGACACAAAGGCACAAGGAAACTGCACACAGAGCTGTGCTGGGGTCTCTCCCAGGCAACACATTCCCAGCCAGTATGGAAATATATAATTAGGAAACACCAAGTTCAAAGGTACCAGTGTACCAAGACAGGAAAGACAGAGCATTTCAAAGAGCTGAAGAAAGACCTTGCTACACCTGTGAGGAATAAAAAGGCAGATGAAACCTAGGCAGGAAAATATTAAATCAGGCACCCAGAGTGTAATCCTAACTGAACACAGGCAGCGATGGGCTATAAATTGGTCATTTCAGAATCCAGCTTTGGGAGTTAAGGGGACTGCTGGATAGAAATGCCAGCTCTCTGCTCCCTCACTGTCTAAAAGCAAGGAGAGTGACAAGAATTAAGAACAGAACAGCAAATACGAGATTGATAAGTATGATGGATGTAGAGACAGAACAAGATTGTGTTTTGCTACCAGGTGAAAAAGGATGCAGCTGAACCAGAAAGAACCTTCAGCTTGAAATAGAAATGATTAAGCAGACCCATGGACAAGGGCTATGGAATGCTGTGATAGAGAGCAGATTCCTGGAGACCTGGTGTCCACTGTGCCTTCTGGGACAGGACAGGGGCAGCACATGAAACTGGCACGTGGCCAATCCAAAGTGGCCAAGGATGAGTTTCTTCACTCAGGATTTAGTTAAGGCTGTGAAAGCAATCTTCACAGAAGGCTGTAAATGCTAAGAGGAACACAGGTTCAGAAAGAAACTGGAAAAATGAATGGAAGCAATAGCTGAAGGTGTCACCTCTGACTCAGGGAGGTCCTTGAGGATGGAACATCACTATGATAATTACATTCCTGCCCTATCCTGGTGCTATTTTGCAGAATTTCAGTCTAGCTGCTCTTGGATATGGGGGCTAGGTGAAGTCTTGTGGTCTGACATGATACATCATTCTTTAAAATAAAAATAACCACCCCAACTTAGTCAAAACAGAACTTAGTCAAAACAGATTTAAATTTGGTTTTAGTACAGTATCTGGGTACCACTGAGGAACCCATTCAGTGGAGCTGATATAGGGAAAAGCCTCTTGAAGAAAAAATTATGACAGGTCCTTCCAACACGCTTCTATATCTATTCTGTTGTGTTGTGCACAGAAAGGACCTTACTTTCAGAATGCTCTTACATTAGGAAAAGTAAGAAAAAATCACAAAATAAACCTAGAGAAAAAAATATATCTATATTCCCCACACTCTAAATTAAGTCCACTACAGCAGTATTGCCAGAGTAAGGTGTCTGAAGCATTTAGCAGCTTTGGTTGGCTGGCTGAAAATCAGGAATCTTAATACATGTAGGAGAATCAAGCACAGTTTTACTGTCCTCAACTCTGTGAGCTGATGATAATTTTCCATAAGCTGTTATCCACCTGTACCTTGCACTATCCCTTCATTAGCCATACCATCAGGAGACAAACTTATTTGGGCTGGAAAATCTTGTCCACACAACATACTTCTGTTCTTATGATGATAACCTGAACAATACTCCCAACCACAATCCAACATGAAGCTTGTAATGGAAGGATTTCCTCTAGTCTGCAAGTGTAAATGGCAATGG